TATTGCACTGTGTGTATGGATTCAAAACTGACTCCAGTGTTGCACACAGAGTAAAACTTAGGCTTGAAGCATCTGTGTAGGGCCATGCATGAAATGGACTCCTGCAGGGCTCAACGCTGGGCAGCTGTTCCTTGTACCTAAAGACAATATTGATAAAGGTGCCAGTACGAATTGTATAGATTTCCTGGTAATGCAAAACTTGAGGAAATGTCCATCAATCACCAACAGGTAAATACTGGAAGATTTGGATAGTTTTCAGACATCAGTCCATCATCAGAATGCACTTATAAGCAGGTACAAACACACAGTGATTTAGAGTCACTACCACAGCATTTACATAGAGAGGAAATCAGCACTAGGTGAGACCATTGTATGGTAAATTAAATTTAGTGTAAATAAATAGACATGTAAAGGTAAGCATATAAGAGAAAAAATAAAAAATAATAATATGGGTATATGAGTATGGTAAAAGATCCTACTTTATGCTATGTTGTAGACTCATTGTTTTCTGCACCTATGCAATACAAACAAGAAACTTAAAAGCCAAATGCAATGCTTGGCCTCATAGCATTAGAATGTAGAATACAAGTCAAGAAACAATGAATCAATCTGACCATATCTGGAATACTGCATTCAGTTTTTGTCAGGACTGTTTGGCTCCGTCTCCAAAAGAAGAACTGGTGAAAGTCCCCATAAGAGAAAGACTCATTTGATATGAAAGTGTGTTTGCAGCAATTTTAAGCTTTTCAGTCTCACTACAAGAGAGATATGAATGAGATCTTAAATATCTTCAAGGGAATCAATAAGGGTATTAGAATAGTTATTTCAGGTTTAGAAAGCAGAATATAGGGGTATAATAAAACAATTTTGCTCTAATTACACAATAACACATGGAATGCATTTCCAGGGCACAGAAGAGGCACAGATGCTGGAAACCTGCAAATCTAGACACGCTGCTGTAGCTTGTCCAGAATGGAGCACACATGCAAATAAGTGTTTCATTTCACTTGTGCAGATGACAAATACATTGAACTAAACTGAAACCGTTCTACTAATATAGCTTCCTTCACAGGGCACTGCCAGGCCAACAGAAGAATGATGAGAAAAATGTGATTCATCACATTTCTGGATGGGGCTGGTAAAGAATGGTCATTCCAAAGGAAACTGGGACTTTGGAAGGCCCACTGGATTTAAAGGGACAGCCTGCTCTGGAGTGAGAGAACAGGGCTGTTGGTGAAAAGCCCCCTGTGTGAGTTACTGTGACAGTTCGTGCGTTAGAGAGAGTAGGTATGGTAGAGGGGCCATGGCCCTGGTGTCATGCCCTCCACAGCTGGACGGCGCTCCTGCTCTGTCCTTTTCCTCTCTATTTTCCTTGTGCTTTGCTTGTACTTCCAGTGTGTCTTGTGTCTGGGGCTTTATATTTACAGGTCTCTCCTTCCTCCATGCTCAGCATTGGGATCGGTTGTCGAGAGGCTCACCTCACCAGGTTGCCCCACGTCTGCTACCTGAGGGCTTATGTCTCGCTCCAACTCTGCCCGATACCTTGAGCCCGGACCGAACCCTCTCGTTCGCTCCGTTCTTACCGCTAAGCATTGGGTCCTACTGCCTCGGTGGTCTCTCTCCACGGCTAGTCCCCAGCTTCCGCGACACCTGGCATCCTGGCAGTATGGGGTGATGGGTGGAGAAAAGGATCTGTCTGGCTGCTGACCTCTGGTGGTTGGCATGCTGTTCTATATGACGACTGCTCATGTCCCTCAGTTACAGATGTTTTGGAAATTGTTCTCATTGCAACATGGTCTCAACAAATGAGGAATTGCGAGAAAATGTGTTTTTTTGTAGGTTTGGGATGGGTGAAACTGTAATGGAGGTACTGGATGTAGCCAGGAAAGAACATTGTTTTAAAGTGTTTAATAGTTTAAAAGTCTCTGCATTAATGTCCAAAGAACGAAGAGTTCTCGAAGTCACATTTAGGCTGATATGGGAGGCAGATGGAAGCTGATGTTGTAGAAATGATTGTATTTGATTGCTAGATACAGTAAGTAATGACACTAACACTAGGGTGTCAGGTTTGCAGATCTTGAGAATGGGGACTCCTGTGGCTTGAAAAGACCATTCAACTAACTAATGACTTAGGCATGATTCACTGTTGATGAGGATATTGCAGATAGATCCTTCTTTTGGTATATAAAAAGTTTTTCAACTTAGTTTCAAAAGGGATAGGATAACTGTTGCTTTTGCTATTTGGAAGATTTATTCACAGTCACAGTTGCTTCAAAGCTGTAGAGTTAGAATGGACTATCAGTGAAGAGTCACTATTTAGTTGTTGGGGAAAAGGCAAGATTGTCCAGTGGGCCAAGACTATAGAGGACTATGGAAAGAAAAAAAAGGAAAGAAAATAAAGATGTTCTAGTGCCAAAAATTTAAGAACATTAAGATAATATTTTAAAATTGACTCATTTATGCTGTAATTGAGAAAATGCACTGTATTTTATTTGTGGAAAATGGTTACTGAAATAATTTTACGGTGGTGCCTGGCAATGCTGAAGATGGTTTCATTTTTGTATGTATAGTTTTGTAAATCAAACTGCATTTATGCTGTTAATTATGGCGAATTATTAGACCAGCACTGATTCCACAGTGAATTATCTATATAAATGGAGCTCTCCTTGTGTGGTTGTGCGGAACCAGGACAAAAACAGTTTTTGTATAAGGAATTTTCCAAAAGGGTCAAGTTACTTTATTTTTTAAACTAATACAAATGACTTTTGTTTCAATGGTAAACCAAGCAGACTTTTATTCTGACTTAGGACAGATAATAAAAATAAGCAAGAAAGGGGTACTATTGGAAACAGAGAGGACCCTGAATGCACAGAGGAGACCAATGTACTGTAAAGTGCTGCTTGCAGGGCACCTCTGATGAATGTGTGAATTTCAAAAAATATTTATCACTACATTGATTATATGTTATAAATTAAATTATGGATATAAATTAAAAACTGTTTATATTGTTACTAAAGGTAGTTTAAAGTTAGTTTAAGAAATGTATTACTTATATAAAGTATATCTCAGATTCACTTTGTACTATGTATAAAGTATTTATATTAGGCTTTATACTTTATATTATACAGTATACCATACTAGAAATCAATACTACCTATATGTATATACTATAGCATTTTATATATGATGTGCAATGTTGATGAAAGGAATCATTACAGTTATTTCTGTTTTGTTGAATATCCCTTGAGGCCATTACTGTGTGCCAACCTGCATGTAAATGTTGTGGCAACACTAACTTAAAACCCAACAACACAATTAAAAGATGGAAACTTCAGCTTGGGCTTCAGTAACCCATCTGTCTGTAACATGTCATGACTTTCCTTCTACTTGGAGGAGAGTGTAAAGGAAAGCTGGTTCATAGAGGCAAACAAGTTAATGCCAAACTGATATCTTAGTCTTAAACAAACCTCATTACAGGCCTGGGATCCCTCCCCCTCCCTCATGGCACACATTGTGAAACGCAGACATGCTTCTTAAATTATTGTTCTCCACTTTCATGGGAGACAGAAATTTGGAGTATGTTCATTTTTGCAAGTGAGGGTATGTATTAATGCCAGTAAGTGACAGATGACTAGAGACTACTAACTGTCTCCCACAGATTTAGTGGCTGTTTTCTACAGTATCAGATACAGTATCTTTATAATAATACAGATATTATAAAATGCAATTACTAAGCACACTCTTTGAAGCTATTTTAAGTATTGCAAATGAGATGCATGTATCACATGAACAGCTACAGTGCAGGTGGTTTTCAGAAGTTGCAGGATCCATTTTGGATGGATCCATTTTCTAACCACTTATTCCATACCGGATCACAGGGGAGCTGGAGTCTATCCCAGCAAGCAACGGGCATAAGGCAGAATACAAAACTGGATGGGGTGCCAGTCCATTGCAGGGCAGAGACATAGACACAAATACAGACATGTATACACTCATTCCAGGGCCAGTTTACCCAGACACCAGCAAATGTCCGAGTAGTTCTCTGGACTGTGGGAGGAAATCCACATGAACACGGGGTGAACATACAGACTACACACAGACAGCACCCGCAGATCTGGGATTGAACCCAGGGCCCCAGCACTGCGAACTACTGCACCACTATGGTTCCCTAAATTATATAGAAAAACCTAAAAATAATATAAATTAATCAAATAAGTAATTTTTCATTTTTAGGAATTATTTTGGAAAGGAAGCTATTAAATAGTTTTTTTTAATGTAGTAAAGTTATTTACTTAGCAGATACTCTTATCCTGGATGATTTACAATATATACTGTAATTGCTCTTCTATAACATTTTTCATCCCAAAGAATTTCAAAGCACCCATCTGGATAACACCTAGCAACCTTTTTGCATCAACATCAGCTGGAGAAATGAGAATTTACTTTGCCAGTTGAATTAAAAAGCGGTTTTAGGAAAGCCACAACCTGTATTTCCTTAGAGATGTAACAATCTGGGAGGTATTTACCATCCCAGTATTGACCACGCCAGCTGTGGCTTGTTTCTGAGGTCTGAATGGACCCGTCTACAATGTGATACCATTGCTGTCAAAATACAAACTTTAACCGTTAAGATAAATACTGAGCAAGTGCTGAAAAGTGGTCAGGGACTGAACAATCCTGAAGTCTGTGGGTAGTTCAATCTCCCAGTGAGGAGCCAGGGTGGAAAATGAGCAGGCTCAGATAAAGTGGGAGAAAGGAGAGGGTGTTCAGAAAGGAATGTGAATGGAAAGATGATGACAGATGTCATGTGTGAGGTGTAGGCTGAATGAGCCGGTATTGTTGCTTTCATCAGAGTGTAAATCTAGCATCTCAATTTTTTGTGCTCAACATCTCTGTGGAAGCAAATTCTCTTTGTATCCTTCTGAGTAAAGTAGATACTGTAGTTGTTATTTGTTTCTTCCTATCACTTGTATCTTATACGATTTCCTTTTTTTTTCAAGAACATTTCACTGCACAGTACAGCAGGACCATCTCCACACCAGCCTGCCCAAGCAAGGATGTCGAACCACGACACCAGCATTGTTATACAGCAGGCCTTACCCTCTCCACAGTCTAGCTCTGTCATCACCCAAGCACCTTCCACCAACAGACAGATTGGGTGAGTAGTGTTTCCTGTGGCAGTTGTGTTTTACTAAAGAGGTAAGAAACGGTGGCCACTTTCTGAAAAGCAGTGTTATTTATTAGAAATTATCAGACTGATTAGTTACGATCATTTTAGATTTGATGCTGTTATAATCACATTTTTTGCATGGTTGTCTTATTTGTTTGTTTATTCAACATATACAGTACCTCTTAGACATAATTTGGAGCACTCATTTATTTAATCACATATCACATACAGTACCTTTCTGAATATATGCTTTATGCTTTTTCCATTATTCTTATTTTATTTTTTAATATATATCATATTCCATTTTCATATTCCATATTTTTAAAGTATTTGATGGACTAGCACCTTTTCCAGGGTATAGTCTCTCCTTGCACCCTGTGCCTGCCAGCTCACCATAACCCTCAGAGTATAAAGCTATTAAATAAAATATAAAGCTAAGAATAAACTTATTAAAAAAGGATGGACAGTGGTTTTAAGTTAATGCTAGCTGTACATTATTATTTACATCTATAATAGGAATACCATTTGGTACCAAAATGGTACCAGAAAATACCATTTGTAGCAAATAAATATGAAAATACAATATCCTGTATTTTCACTTGGAGTTATCTTAAATATAACATAAAGTAAAAGATGCTCTACTTATTTGATCTTGAAACTTTAGGTCAGATAATCTCTTAGTCAGCAATTGTTACTGTATGTAGGGCTCTTGCTTAGGTTAAAATAAGGTGAGTGTTGGAAAGATGTGATTACTCATCAGCTGCTCTTCTGACTTAAATCACTCCTTAGCACATTGCAAAAGTACTGTACCTTTTTTAATTTCTCAATAGTGGACACTTTTGTAATTACCCCATGTAAGTCTTGTCTCGTAAATAATTATGGCATAATCCTGGACAGGCTAGGATGAAAATTAGTCCATTCTTAGGTGCTGTGCTTTGCTTCTAATGCAACTTTCATTCACCAGCCTCACAGCCATAATGGCTGAGTGAAAGCCTGGAAGTCTGGGTTGTGCTGAATTTCTGCAGGGATCCTCAATGCATTTTCTTCTGGTATTCTGTATGGTTCAAACAACAGTTATAAGGGAACTGAACTGAAGAAAGTTTTTCCTTAAGACTAGGGCAGTTTCATTCCATTGAAAAATCAAAAAGACTTAATGAGTAATTCATTCACCTTCAGTAGCAGATCTCACATGGTTCTCACATTACTTTTGTTATCCTCTGGTTCTTGCACCTCAAAACCTTTTAAATATGCAATTTGTTTATTCTTTATTGTCATAAGCTTGACTCTCTACCTCACAGCATTAGGATGTAATTTCATCCCACAGTACTGTAGGAATAAGTGGACATGAGTGGTGCCTTGCATGTCCTGTCATGGTGCTGACAACATTTACCCTTTTCACTGAGCCCTGAAACACAAACAGGAGGAGGTGGACATGTATCTGAAAACTGGGAAAAGGAAGCAGTTCTTTACTCAAAAGGTTGTGGGAGTATAGATCAAGCTGCCCAGCCACTTTTCTGATACTTTAGCATTTTTCAACAAACATCTGGATGAGATCCTAGGGTCAATTAGCTGCTAACGACCAAAAACGTCCTATTAATTGTAACTTTTCTTATACCTTCTTTAGTAAAATGTAAAAAAAAAATATATACAGATTTATGTTTTCATCCTGAAAAATATAAAGGGACATCCCTGGTGTTGAATTGTGATCTGCAGCCAATATACTGGCCAAACACACGACACTCATGTTCACATGCAGTGATGAATGGCTTTGGTGATTTCGTGAATGTCCCAGTATAGTGAATAAATAAACCTATGGTAAACCTTTGAGTATACCCAGATGGAACCATTCTGTAATTCTTTACAGAATGGAACCATTCTTAATAAATTATTCCAAGTCAAAGATATAATCTTATTCAACTGTAGAATGCAAATGAACGTTCTGACGTTTGCTCCCAGAAATTACCCAACCATCTAAGCACAAGATATCTATGCCAGGATGTAAAATCAGCAATGAAGATATATCAGCGTTACTGTGTGCAAATGCTGATGGCCTACACAGGGTGACACCCGTAGTTACTGGCACATCACAGAAACTGAGGGTCCTCTAGGATATAAATAATGAGCTTTCAGTAGTCTGTTATCATTCCAGTAAAGCTCGGTTTTCCTCTGACACAATTTCTTTCTCATATACAGTGTGTTTTGAGCTTGAAATATCTCATTGCTAATTTAACAGACAGCCAGCAACACCCCTTTCTGCCTATTGGTTTGGTGAAGTGGGGCTATACTGTTCTGTAATACAATATAGTGCGTTTATATAAACAGTACAGTGCAGTTTAGTATATACATATCCAGAAAACATCTATTTATTATACTATACTACAGTATATTATATAATACATGAAATATATGTATATACTGTATTTCTATGATTGGGATGAAATCATCATTTGTGACTTTGGAAATTCAGCAGTAACCATTCAGGACAGCCTTTTTCCTATTAGTCCATTAAACCGATTCTTTTTATGTGAAATTTTTGATACACAGCTGTTTCAAAGTTCTAAACTTTTTATGTAAAGGCTCCAGTTTCAACTTCTATAACAACTTTGATTGTTATTCAAAAGAAAATTTATAAATTTGTCAGCAGGAAATCACTGTAGGTTTCTTCACAAAGAACGAAAAAACTGGTATAAAAGTTTTTTATAAAAATGGTATAAAAATAGAATTTTGCACAGCACTATGCAATACAAAAGTGTTGTACGACCATGCTGATTAAAAAGGATGTTATACATTTTTCCTTAAATCTCTGCAGTGACGATGATGTGACTAGTTTCTAGGTTGTTGAAAGCAATTAACTTGATACTAATGAGAACCATTTCAAAAATATTAAAACTAATATTGCCAGTGAATGTTATAGTGAAAAATGAAGCCTTCATGACAAACACTTTCCCCAAACTCTCCAGCCCTGCCAGTACAGTTTGACACAAGGGAATGGGGACATTATGTAAAAGAGGCTTTGTCCTCTGTAGCAAAAGGTGTTAAGACACAAGCAGCCTCCCGAGTCTACATTCACTGTGAAGTTACATGTGCCACACTGAGTCAGTGTTCTCATGGCATTCAGTTAGGATGACGTGGCTTTTTTTGCTAAATCCCACATTTTCATTTTAAATTTGTATATTGATTTAGGAACATCTGCTGTTTTTGATAGTTGCTTATCATTATTATTTGCTGTCTTTTCGCAATTGTATTGCAGCAGATGTTGGTTTTTGGCAGTGGACTGTGGACAGTGACTGGATGTATAATACACCTGCACTTTCTCTATGTTCTGATGCCACTTGGTGGCATAGGAGCACTAGAGAACTGTGCACCAGCACAGCTCACATCCTCTCCAGCAGTGAGGGGAAGGCTGTGACACCAAAACAGATCAGTCCTCTGAGCACCTTCATCTCATAGAAATAGTGTGGCTACATTCATGTTGTTATTGTTAAGTGATTACACTTTCACATGTTGTTAAATCAATGGTATCTTGAAACTGCAGGAGGAAAACAAAACTGCAACGCTTACATTTTGTTTTATTTTCCTCAGGTCTAAGAGTTGACAAGTTTTCTGTTGTTGAACAGGTTTTTCTTTGTATGGTTTGATTTTGCACCATTGCAGCTGAAGGTGTCTGTATGACCTTCGGCCAGAAAGGGAAGATCCATGTCAGTGTAATAGTGAAAATTGGAAAACTTTGCAACACATTTCATAGATCCCTGCAAAATATAGGATGAGCTGGATTAAGCTCCGTTTAGATTTATAAAGTAAATAAATTGCTACATGATTGCTGCCTCTTTATTAAAATGAGGCTAACAGGAAAATGTTGGGAAACACTACATGGATCACAGCCTGTGTTATCTTTTGTTTCTGAAAGGCAGCGTAGACATGTACCAACAAAGGCTCATTTACTGACACTCACAGCTCAAACCTGCCCTTGGCTGTTTTTGTGTGTCGGGTACTTTCATGGCCTGTAATTATGGAGTGGGTTCAAGTCTGCTTTTTCCCTCCCTCTGTATTTTGAATACTGGTTGAAGCTGTTGAAGCTGTTTACAGAAGGTGAATAATGCAGCTGCAGGCCAGGCGGAGACGTAGCTGCCTGGCTAAGTATTGGTCTTCATGGCTCTTTGACCCTGGTGCCTCTGTTCATTTCATATTGCTCATTCTGTTCTAACCTCTTCTTCCAGGGTTAGAGGCATGCTTGAGCAAATTGATCTTACCAAATAACTGGCTGAGGTCTATTAAATAATAATTATTTATTCTCGTTTTTCAGATAAGATGTAAAGCGGACATCTCCAACCCTGATCATGGAGCCACAAGCTAGTTATTCTTGTAAGCTAGTAATGTATTGATGACATACTGGTCCTTGAGGGCTGAATGATATTTTGATTTTTCTTCAAAATGATTTCTAAATAATACTTGAATTGCTCCGGGCCATTACAAATTGGTGATTTAAAGGCCACCATTAAAAACCTGCTGGGGTTGGGTTCTCCAGGCCCAGGGTTGGAGACCTCCTGATGTAGAGCATTCAACTTTTCAACAATAAGATTAACTGACAATCAGCAAAACAAAACAAAACATATTATAACATTCTTGATTCAAAAGTGATGTTAATTTTCTTTAACAGTGTCTATTTGCCCTGATAATTCAGGACATTTTTTGTTAAGAATGCATAAAGTAATACACCGAGGTTCTGTTAATCCATTGGTTTATTAAAACAACTTTGATGTGTTCCTGATTCACATAGTAAACTAGTTGAATGCCAGTTTTTTTAAGCATTTGCTCCAAGGTGACTATGCTGTGTCAGTACTAATAAGGACTGAGTGTAAATTGCCTGTGTGGAGAGGACAGCTTGCTGAAGGGAGCTTGCTCTGGTTATGGTTGTGTCTCAGCAAACAGCTCTATTCCATAATTATTGGGACCCGAATCAACGTGTTGTACTATAGCAGAATCCCACT